CATTTGCAAATTCACAGAAGCAAAACGCTAGTAAGGTTGTATGACCACCCTGACCGTGTGCAAAGCACTCAATCAGTAAAACACCCCGTTCAATCACTTTTACACACTGACACATTCTATTGACAGACCACCCATGTAACATGTTTGTATCTTAAAATATTTCTGTTTAGACTAACATATTGACTGGCACTACATCAACACTAGACATATTCCAAACATACAAATACAATCAGCCACACACAGAAACCTCTCTGCTCCCTCGCATGACAGCTTTGATTAATTGCAGCTTGCTTGGTAGCATTAAGCAAATAATTATACTGCACAATGACATTTGGATCACACATCATAAGTCACAGTCAGCCAGAGCTACAATCCAGTAAATCATAAAGCGAAAGTGTTTAATATATTACCTTTTAAATGTGGGTCTTCACTATCATTATTTTATTGGAAAACGTTTAAAATGGCAGAAAGCCAAGACTGTGCTAAAGATTGAAATGGCAGGAGATTTTTTTCGACTTCTTTCTCCTGTATCCAGGTTCACCTATGGAACTTGGAAGGGGTTGCTACTGCATACTGACACTGCATACTGACAACAATGTACCTCATGCACACATACACTGACACACAGAGACTTGTCTTGACAGTAGTATAATACAGTCTTGTATTATACTGTAGCCCAATTTTTAACATGCCAGCTAGACGACTCTCTTTTCCATTTAGTGCTTCTCCCCCAGTTGTCACATCACCCTCCCCCTTTCATTTCCTCTCACGTTATCACTTGCAAAATGTAAGGTGATGGAAGGTTGACAGAGGCAGAAATGACTACATCCATTTTTCTTTGCCACGATCACCTGGACCCAACCCTGTCTCCTCTGACTGAGCTCCTCATTTCCCTCAGTTAATGCTGGGATAGGATGATCCACCTCTTAGCTCCCAGGATATCTACTAGATTTTTAAAAGCAGCTCTGGCTGCAAGGGGCAGTTGCAGGAACCAGAGTTTAATGTCTGATATTATTTCAAAGGATTTAACTACATTTTATTATACATACTATATGCCTTATTTGGGCTATATGGAAATGTTGGTAATAATGAAGTAACCATAATAATGGAGTATATCAAAAGTAGCCCAGCAGGCAGTATTACATCTCTGGGTCTGTGGTTTTGGTGTCTGTTCTGGACTCTCACTGGCGCCTCATGTTTCTGCGGGTTTTCTTCAGCTCTGCTGGCTTCCTCTTATAAATTGAAAAAGTCAAGTTTGTTGGACAGAGAACAGAGCCACACGACGCAGGATGACAGGAATGAATAGCAACTTCATTTGGGTGTGGGAGCAGAGATGTGCTTAACTAAACAGTGAGGAGAATGAAGACAAAAGAAGCTATTCTGGCTTTGGCAGAAGAGAAATATGCAAGAAAAAGAATCGGGGCGTTGGGAATGGCTAAAATGGGAAAGGGCTCAGGGTTTGGGGTCTGGGGGCGTCTTCTGTGGGGGGCTGAGAGAACGTTCCGGCATCTGGAAATCAGGCAATTGGGGAAAGCAAATGAAAGGGCTCGTAAATTGACCCCACCCCCACCCACCCATCGAAACTTAAAATTTACAATTTTAGACACTAAAGGGCTGATGTATACATGTCAGGCCCCTACAGTGGAATGATCCCCTGCATCATGTCCTAAACCTTGTATCACAGGCTCTGGATCGTTTCAGTCCTGATTAGATTATCAGTGATGGAGAGATGAATGACTTTAGGGCCTCAACAAAAACTCTTTCATTGTGGTTTTTAGAACAAGTAAGCACTACCAGCTTACTCTTCCCTTTACAAGAATGTGCATCACTCACTTTGTTGAACTAAACCAGTTCATGCTTTGTGTTTTTTTTACCAAGACCCCAAATTGGGTCTCTTCTATGTCTATTATTCCTCATGTTTGGCAATTATTGTTGACTGTTATCTTCCATCTTTCTACACTACTCACCTTGCAATTTTCCTTTCATAATAACATAAGAAATATACAAACGAGAGGAGGCCATTTGGCCCAACAAGCTTGTTTGGGGAGAACTCAACTAATAGCTCAGAGTTGTTAAAATCTTATCTAACTCTGATTTAAAGGAACCCAGAGTTTTAGCTTGCGCTACACTAACAGGAGGACTCTTTCATACTCTAACTACACACTGTGTAAAGAAGTGCTTTCTCAAATTCATTTTAAAATGTTCTCCCGCTAATTTTCATATATGGCCACGAGTTCTAGTATTTAAACTAATATTGAAGTAGCCATTTGGCTGAACATCATCCAGACCTGTTAGAATCTTATATACCTGGATCATGTCCCCCCTTAGTCTCCTTTGCTCAAGGCTAAACATATTGAGATCAGCTAACCTCTCCTCATAAGACATTCCTTTAAGACCAGGAATCATTCTTATAGCCCTACGTTGCACCCTTTCCAAGGCAGCAATGTCCTTCTTAAGGTATGGTGACCAAACCTGCAGACAATATTCTAGGTGAAGTCTCACCAAGGAATTGTATAATCGTAGCATCACCTCCCTTGACTTAAACTCCACACACCTAGAGATGTAACCCAACATCCTATTGGCCTTTTTAATTGCTTCCCCACACTGGCGAGAGTGGGACATGGAAGCATCAACATACACACCAAGATCTTTCTCATAATCAGCTACCTTTATTTCAGTGGAACCCATAAAGTATCTGCACTTTACATTTCTGCTCCCTGCATGGATTACCTTACATTTGTCTATGCTAAATTTCATCTGTCAGGTATCAGCCCAGTCACTAATTAAATCAAGATCCTGTTGTAGCCTGTCACGCCCCGCTCCGTCCGATCCTAATGTGTGCCACGCCCACCTCATTACCTCGTGTTCATCCCTGATTGTTCTCACCTGTTGCCTGTTCCGTTTGCCTAGTCTTGTGTACTTAGTCCTCGTCTGAGTCAGTCTTCGGTAGATTTATCATTGATGTGATGTAATGTTGCGTTTGATGTCCAGCCTCCATTTCCCTGCCTGTTCGTTGAATAAACCCCGTCTATCCTGATCCACGGCTCCGCTTGCCTGCTTGACCGCCAGCTCGCTAGCCCGAACGTGACAGATTGACAAATCTACCGAAGACTGACTCAGACGAGGACTAAGTACACAAGACTAGGCAAACGGAACAGGCAACAGGTGAGAACAATCAGGGATGAACTCGAGGTATTGAGGTGGGCGTGGCACACATTAGGATTGGACGGAGCGGGGCGTGACATAGCCTCTCTGCTGCTAGTTTAGTATCTACTACACCACCCACCTTGGTGTCGTCTGCAAATTTAACCAGTTTACTGTATGTATTGGTGTCAATATCATTAATGTAAATTAGGAACAATAGTGGTCCTAAAATTGAACCCTGCGGTACCCCACTATGAACGCAGGCCCACTGTGACATTGTGCCTCTAATAACTACTTGCTGCTTTCTGTCTGTTAACCAGTTTTTGATCCAAGCTGCAGTTTTTGATCCAAGTTCCTAAAATCCCTGCAGCTTTGAGCTTAAGCAAGAGACATTTGTGGGGGACAACATCAGAGGCTTTCTGGAAATCTAAGTAGATCACGTCGTAGGTCTTTTTGTTATTAATAACAATGTAATTAATAATGTATTTTCTCACACAAATATTTTTCCATGTAGATTTTTGATACTACTTTTGTGTGTAAATGCCTCCTTTGAGTCAGTCCTTTTAATATTCCTGGAATTTACAAGCAAAGTTTTGGAGCTATGTTACAAGGATGTGGTAAGGCATTCAATTGTGTCTCGTCAGTAAAACCCAGCAGATCTTAATTGTGAGAAGTCCTACCTGCTCAGTTGCCCACAGAAACTACTGCCCTCTAGCTGTAGTAACTGATGCAGAAGTCAGTTCACCAGCCCTATTATGTGTCAAGGGTCACATTTTTGTTAAGATGAGCAATCACTTGTTTTATTTTAATTACCATTGATGAGATCTGCCCCACCAATACACATCCATTCATCCTTCCATCCTAAATCCTCTTATCCAATGCAACGTTCATTGATCAATTTTTATGTTTGCGAAACTCAAACATACGAACAACTTAAGAGCAAATTTGCAGTACTCACTCAGTCCATTTCATATTATTTTTGAGAAGAGACCTACAATGACCTAAAGTCAGTCAGCAAAAAGTCACACAAAAACTTTCTCAAAAACATGTCCAGTAGACTGTGTGAGTTTCAGAAATTTGCTCTTCAATTACTTACAAGATCCACAAGTGAATTGTTAAATCTACTATTTTAACACTGGATTATGCCACAGAATTTATGAGTTTTATATCTAAAGGAATGCCGCCAAATATAACTTAAATATTTTCCACAGACATGTTATTAAAATGGCCAGACTTTCTACACATTGCATGTTCCAGTTTTTGACTGACTGACACAACCTCACTGAGACTGTAACCCAGCATTTCTTTGGGTTTTAGTTACTTAGCCCGAAAAAACAAGAAGCCCTGATGCTGTCTGCTTTGTTTACTACTGTTAGAACCCATTTCGGTCAAGCTGTGACCAAAACTGGAAAAAAAAACAGAATACCAGCATTTAACTTATTCGTTATTTGCTTCGACAAATTAATTAAGCAAAATTAATTTCGTGTTAAAAATATAGGACTAACAGAAAACGGCTATAAAATCAGGTGGCAGAAAAGAATTCAGGATGGCCAAAAACATCCCGTACATGTATATACTACATAAATTAAAGCTCTCTCATACAATGAGAAACACCCTAAAAGCTTCTTTAGACAACAACCGTGACAAAGACAGATTGCGAAAACGACATGCTCGCTGATTACATGACGCATCGTTAGCGCTGGATTTGAGTGTCGCATCAAAGGGCGCAAATGTGCGAGTAACAGCCGCAGCCGTGCCGCTCGGACTGCAGGTTAAATACTTTGGCAGATCTTGTTTGGAGGCGGGTCCTTCCCCGTTTTTTCTTTCGGAGTCTTTGCGCTGTTAGGGAAAGGCGGGGTCGACCGCTTCCCAACCACTTACTAAATACAGACTGCAATGTCTGGGAGTGAAATATCTGCTAGCTGAAGCTGGACGCCTATTCAATGTGGGGAAATCAAGGTGTCGGGAGCATCTGGAAACCACCGGGATATAGGACAGCCCGTTATTATAGACCTTAAGAAGGGCTCCGAAATCTGCTGTTATTCAGTAATTGGTTTAGTTTGGATTAAAAAAGAATACGCATAGATAATTAAGAGGCATAAGGTGAATATTAGGTGTAAATGATGAAGGAAGTCATTTTCTTCACGAATATTGTTCTGTCCTTACTGATGATGACAGCTTCAGCGTCCAAGCTGAATGTGCCGCGACTACGCCTTTCATACAAAGGTAGTTCTTTTTCAACTGCTTTAAAAAAAAAAAACTTATCACTGGATTACTCTTGTATTTTGTAAAATTAAAAACGGCAATTCCGTTCACCGAACAAGTTTTATTGGCTTATACATATGCTCTAGTAAATACCTTAGTAAAGTAATTGTGTTAATTGCCTGTTATTATATGAGATAATCATATATAACCTATCGTTTGTTTTTAATGACAAGTAGCCTATTATAGGACTTAGCAGTGGAGAAATTGAATTTTACCGCGTCTCAAATCCGGATTTTATTTCATGCAATTTTTAATTACAATTTTTAATAATATATTGCTTTAGTATTCTCTATATGAATTATAGCACCTTTTGGGTATTTTTCTGACAGTGTTTCAAAAGGGATATTTTAAAACAGTAGATGTAATTCCTGTTATTTGCTACTAATTTAAATCAACGTGCGAAGAGGTGGTCCTTGTTGTCTAAATATTGGTTGTTGGAGGCTACAATAAAACGGAACTGCGTTTTGTTTAGTCCGGTGTAAACTATTAAGCTGCTTTCCCTGTGGGCTTTTTGGCATATTTTCACCTCTCTGTGGTCAGGCTCGCCAGCGGTCCTGAAACGTTTAATTCATTCTGTGAACGCCATTAAGTTTTATTGAGCGGAGGCAAAACTGTGCTGCCACCGATATCTAAACCGTAAAAGTTTAACCTGGAGCACAATTTTGTGGTTCTACACGCATGAAGTTCGCAAAATACGTATAATTATATTATATTCTTAAATATCTTGAAAGTCTGCTGCTTAAGGATTTACAGAGGCTGTACAGTTGATTTCTTCACGTACCTTCAGCACTTCAGGACTCGATCACATTTGTATTTACATTGAAGTGATATAAAAAAAATTTTATTTTTTTTTTATTGCTCATAAATTCATTGTTCATTTATCATTAAAGCTTCTACCTCCACATATAAAAACATATCAAATGCAGTACCTGAAGTATTAATTTCACCCCTGCCAGGTTAAATCTCCGTACCTGAAACACAGTTTGACTGGTCCTCTGGTTTCAGATATCACTATGCTTAACTGTGGGAACAAAGACTAAATTATCTCTGACGTGTTATAGTGCTTCCTCTTAGCCAAAAGCTGACCAAAAAAACAAACAAGCATAAAATGGGCAGCTTTAAATATCCAAATGAGAATGCACTGGACAAGCAGAAAAAACAGGAAGGAGGAAAACTGGGCCTTCAACCAGCGATGAGATAAGCAGTGACCTCCTGCGAGTCCCAGACCTAGTGTTCCGACCCTGTTCTTGAACCGTATGACAGGCAGCCATCCTCCACGCCACTTAATTGTGATGCAGATCAACCTTCCTTACAAATTTGCACCTTTGCTTGTCACTGGGGCTGAATCCTCAAGGGTCTGTCAATTGTACCCTTAGCTGTAGGTAATTGTACCTTTTAAGGTACATAAATGGGCTCTGAGGAACATTTCTGTACCATTGATGGTACATTAATGCTGTTTGTTTCTTTGTGATGTTCCTCAGAGTCCATTTCTGTACCCTAGAAGGTACAATTACAAAGGTACAACCCCAGTGACAAGCAAATGTACAAATGTTGACCCTTTTTTTCTGAGAGTGTCCGGTGGTTTTAACTGCATGTCACAGTCAGAATCGAGGGTCCATGTAGGAGGTAGCCATGTTTATAGAGGGAAGGGGGAGGCTCTCTTAAACTCCTCAGAAAGGGCTTGTAAAGTGTGCTGTCTGACCGGCTGGGATTCCGCCGAATCCTCGGGGGCATCTGGAGAGCGGACGAAGCGCGCGCTGACTTTTGTGGCATGAATGAGCATACAGCCCCACTCTGCTCTCACTGCTTCTCTGCCCAAATTCAGCTTTCTAGTAGCGAGGACGATTCGGCGGGAAAACAGTATTTTGGCTTTGTCAGTTGATTGAATGCTTTGTTTTTTTATAGTGTTGTACTAGACATTTTAATTAGGAGTTAAAAATGAAGATGGTCATGAGGCTGCAAATTTCACCATTTCTTTAAAATTGGCCTAAGGACTAAAACTTAAGAATAGGCATTGAATGCTTACTTCTTTGTTATTTTACCAATTTCTCAACAATTTAATGGTTCCTGGGCTTTCCATCTTGTCAAATTCATTCTTCATCTGGCTTTTTGGCTTTGGCGGCCACAGAGGAATAGGAGTCAGGTGGTCACTGTTTCCCCTTATTGGTGCTCCTGGGTGACATGTTCTGTGATGTGAATCATGTGATTCAGCTGGGGCCCGGCTGATTGGACTGGGCAGTACGGATGCCTTAGCGGGCTGCCAGACTAATGGGACGCAGCAAACTTCAAAGGTACCCATATGATTTCAGTGGCGCCTTGCAGGGTGGGACCATGCCGATTTGGATCTGGCAGTAGGCACTCCCAGAGCCCCTGCCAGGCTTGGATCTTGGCACAGGGAAAATTGCTGTCCCAAGAACAAACTTCAACTCAGCCAATCATGGGGATTTGGGGAGTGTCCCCCAAGATGATGATGTAGCAGAGTTGTCTCTAGCACCAGTATCTCTATGCAGTATTCTTGCAAAATCTATGCAATTAGGATAATGGGAAAAGAACATTGTGACAGACACAGGAAAGTTAGAGACACCTGGTGAGAAACCCCCCCTGGCTGTTTTTCTGATAAAATGTGGCAAAGCCCTGTCACATGGTATCTGCCTGGGATGGCTTCTCGCATGAACGAGTTACCAGGAACAAGCATTGCTATTCCACTGGGCCCCTATATTTTTGACACGTGTCATTTCAAGGGATCTGGGAACTCACAGTTATTTCTGTATCCATCTGGATTGCCGTCAGTCACTCTTGGATCACAGAGTCTGGCCAGTGTTGGGCTCATAGTGTAGTGAGTGATGGTGCAGGGCAGCCGAAGATGTAAGAGGGCGAGAATATACTGACACTGGGCAGAAAGGAGCCAGCGAGTTGGGGAAGCAAATATTTACAGTTAAAGGCGTATATTAATTAAATGGAGATATGAATGTAAAGTAATGCATTTGTCTTCAGCTCATGCAGTCATGGTAAATCTGTTCTCTAAAATTTTGAGCAGAAGAAAGAGGGAGAGCAATAGGTGGAACACAGTGGATGGTGTGATTGGCCACAACTGTAGGTCACGTGACCTCTCCCTCGCTTGGGTCCGCATGTGCCACTGCACTGTGGGTTATCTCTCAGCCTATTGCATCAAGGGCCACTTTTTTGCTGTGGTAGTTTACACAGAGGTGGACAAACCTCGACAGGAAGGAGGAGAACAATGCTATATTGTGCTCTTTTCTGTGCTCTGTTTGCTGAATAATATGCTTGTGTCCAATTAGGTTCTAGGCCCTCGGCAATAAACAGTCTTTTACACATGGTTGGCACATCTGGTAGTGGTCTATGTTCCTGGACATGGCAGCTCGACCATTTTATCTGAAGTGGTGAACATACAGCAGTCTTTCTGATTACCATGCCACCCCCCCGGCTCCTATTCTGACAATCTGAATACTAATCCCCACTAGCCTACGGCTTTTGTCACTGAGAGAGACTCAGCTAACAGGGGAAGGGACCTTCTGTATTGTTGTTGAAAGGGTGTTTTAGTATTTGCACCACAATTACTAGGAAAATTAGGACTCGTAATTCTCCTTGCGCCGAATGTCATTGCTCAACTGATTGTCAGCCAAGGGAATTAGCATATTTATGCATTTTTCGATGCACTGTCAGAGTTAACATTCCCAATCCATTGAGAGGTGGTTTCTTGAGGATTTTTGACACAGCAAATAGGAGTGTTTAAATAACTGTGTTTTGGATGAAAAGTGAGGGGTGCTGGACATATACAAGGGCAATATGGCTCAGTGCAGTGATTGTCATGGGACTGATTATATCAAAGAGGCCCCCATTTGACCCGTTATCTTTGCATTCACACCCTTTTATTTAGCCCATCATTTTGGGCTGGACGGGAAATTGGGTGTTAGTACTTGTTTACGAGGTGACACGTAACAGATATTAAGAGATATTATAAGGTGACACATCCTGTATGCCTGAAATTTATTCTTTCCTGATAGTAAATGTCAGGAAAAAGCTCAGCAAAATAAATGGCAGCAGCCAAAGCCGCATCAAGGCTTAAATGGACGCAACAAATTACTAATGTGGCACCAGGCCAGCGGGTTAAAACCTTTTATCAAACTATTTGTCTGAACTTCTCCCACTTCCCGCAACCCGGTCTGCACGCCGCTGTGGACCCGTCGCGGCTGCATAAGCGGAAAGGTCCCCTTTATAAGTGCGGTCATGAATGTAACATAAATATGATGGATGAACGTTCTTCAAAGTTCCAGAAAGGGCACTTTTTCTCTCACACATCTTTTCAGTTCCTTTTAACCATGTGCAGACTACATTTCAGTGTGCGTTGAACATTTTGCACTTTTCAGGCGCTGCTTACAGGGACAAGTATTTATTTTATGACGTGAAAGGCTATACCTCTGTTTCATTCCTTGTATTTAAACAGAGGGATTTGTGTATTTACTGACGGCTGCCCTGGCTGCCCCCATAGTTCTTTGGCGGTTAGTATAACATCTACAGCTCCAAGGTAAGCATAGGGCTGTCGCACCGACGAGATCCCACTCCGGAGCGGTACTGGTAAATGGGAATCCCCATGACTTGGTGCTGGTTGTACCGCTGTGATTCGAAATTGAATGTGATCAGGTCTGAAGTGGATGTTTTTTTTTTTTTAAGTAGATTGCTTGGGCGAGTGTCGACAGCATGGGGGTATCGGGTTTTCTTGTCACACCCCATCCTGTGCCTTGATGTGTTGGGGGCCGTGTGTGTCAGTGTCCATGCTCATGTATGTTTTCATTGCGGTCTTATTTTTCTTTGTGTCGGTAGCTGTTATTGTCGGTATGGAACAGTGTGCCACTCTGGGAGGTTTGGCCATTTCTGAATGGCGTTTGCATTAGCGAATAGTGTAACCAGCTAGTAGCTGGGCGGAGCCGCCTAAGGTCTTC